CCCCTCCTTTTCGGCTGCAGGGAGGGAGGGAAAGCTCTAGATGTGAAGGGGGCTGGGGTGTGCGCGCGCGCAAGCGTATGTCTCTAGAAGTTGCTTCTGGGCCTCTTGTCTGAGCCCTGCGGCTGCTCTCCATCTTTGCCCTCAACTTCATTTCCAAACAGCTGGCAAAGGGGATTTTTCTTTTCTTTTCTGGTCTCTGAAGCCGGCAAGGGGGGGGGTAAGGAGGAGGGAGGGACGTTTTCTTTAATGGACTTTGAAAAAACCCAAAAAACTAAAGAGAACATTTCAATAAAAGCAAAAACCAACGGGAGGAGGACGCTGAAGCATCTGTTGGCGATGTGTGCAGTTTATTGGCGGCAGCTGATGCAGAACCCCTGTGGCCAAACCGACATCAGACGGGCAAAAAACCAAGCCTTCTCCTCAAATGGGATTCTGGAGCAAGCCCCCGAGCGGCCAGGGGCGCTCGCCGCTCGCCTGCGCTCAGATAACCCGACACATGGCCTGCCCGGGCCTGCGAGTCCCCGCAGGGTGCAGAAGGCGGTGGGGGGCTGGCTGGGGAATTCCTCCACTTCAGGCCTTCCTCGCTGGGATCCTGCTCTGAGGCCGACCTACCTCAGAGGGTTATTTATTGTGCGCCAGTGAGGAGCCCCATTTGAGCGAGCCTGCGCGGACGTGAAGACCTTCCTTTTGGTCCCACTGCCTTCACAGGTGCATGCTTGGTGGGGACCCGGGAGAGACGGGCCTTCTCGGTGGCTGCTCCTTTAGACTCTGGAACTCCCTCCCACTGGAAGCCAGCCAGGACCCGTCTTCCCTTCTGCAAGCAGGCAAAGGCCTTCCTCTTCAGGCAGGCTTTTCCTGAGTGATCAGATTGCCTGAGGGGGGGCTTATTAATGGATGGTTGTGCCTCACTGCTGTGAATGTGTTTTCGATGTTGCTTTGTTTACCATCGCTTAGGGTGCTATTTGTTTGATCCTTTTAAAAGTATTTGTAGACTTACTGTTTTGAACTTTAAATATTGCCCTTAAATTATGTAAGCCACCTTGGGTCTTTTTTAAGGAGTAAGGCAGGGTAAAAAATATTTTAAATATTTTTTAAAAAAACATGCTACCTTGAGCTCACTGAAAGAAAGATGGAATAGAAATGTAACAAAAAGGAAATAATAATAATAATAAATCCAGTAAGAAAGCAGGCGTTCCTGCGCCCATCTGGCTGCTGTCTCCAAGCCCTGGTCAAAGGAGAGGATCCCAGGGGTCCCCCTCAAACACCACCGGCCATTGCACGCCACCCACCGATGGTCAAGACCCTTGCGGGAGCATCGGGAGATGCCCCACCATGTGTTGAGTCAAATTCATCCACCTTTGCTTTTTAAAAGGCTTTGCAGTTCCTCAAACAGAACGCCTGGAAAACAACAGCCGGGGGGGGGGGAGGCCCAACACGTTTGGTAGAAAGAGATAACGAGGCCCAGGGCTGCACGAACAAGGCGCTGCCGCAGCAAAACAGGACAGAGTGTCCTCTTCACACACACACACACACACACACACACACACACACACAAGCACACAAATACACATATACAAAGACTCAATGTCCCAAATGGCCTCCGCCCCCCCCAAAAAAAGGTCCTCCCCTGCAGCTTCTGTTTTGGGGTGGTTTTTTGGGGGGGGCTTCTTCCCACTTCCCTGGTGCCAAGATGGCTTTGCAATCGCTGTGCGTGTGCGCACGTGCGTGCCTCCCTTTTGAACTGGCTTCCTGAAGGGTTTAAGGCTCTATGGATCTGGGAATACGGAAAGCAAGAGGGGAACGAAGGATCGGCCTCGCCTGGGTGAGGAACTCTTCCCGAACAGGGAAGGAAAGGGCTGGCGCACCACAAGGCTGAACTCTGCAGAGGCGGCGCGGAGCGAGGGAGGGGGCCGTCCTTGCATCAAACCCTCGTCTGCCGCGGCACCGAGTTTATGGAGCGCCTTTTATGCTACTCATGTTAAGCCCTCTGAAACCAGCTGAGCGGTCAAGCCTGAGAGCCTTTCTTCCCAGCGCTTCTGCAGAACACCTCCAATGATGCGCGACGTATTAATAAACGTCCGTAAAAGTACACAGGGTAAAAGATATATACAGCAATCAAAAATGGATGTGTTGCAAGACACAAATGAGACCAGTCACAACGGGCACACACAGAGAGAGACTTTTAGGGAGCCTTAAAGACTAAAGGTTTCCTACAGCACGAGGAGCAGCACCGGAAGGTACCACCAGATCCGGCCGCTTTTGGGCATAATGGGCCAGCCTGGCGTTTCTTCTGGAAACCACAAGCCAAGAAAGCAACAACTTGCAACTGTCCAATGGGTGCTTAAAAACTCTGTGTGTGTGTGTGTGTGTGTGTGTGTGTCTCTCTCTCTCTCTCTCTGTCTGTGTGTGTGTGTGTGTGTGTGTGGGTGTGTGCAACAGGTTCACATGCATGCTCCCGCTAAAATATATGTCCCTAGCACATTGTACCCATGTGCAGTCCGGGGAGGCCAGATTTTCACTGGCAGCCGCAATGCAGGGCCTTGCCAGCACTGCCGGCTTCTCCAGAAGGCCCGAAAACTCAAAGCCATGTCTGCGGCTGCTGAATTGTGTGTACGTGCGGGGAAAATGAGGGGGCCCAGGTAGAGGCAGTTGTGGAGACAGCAGCGAGGGAACACTTGCTCTCTCTGCCTCATAAAATGCCAGAAACTCCAGGAGGTCAGCTATGAGGCTGAGAGGAGGGCAGTTCGGGGCAGAGAAAAAAACCTTCCCTTGTGCAGAGTCGCAACTGTGGAACTCACTGCCACAAGTTGTAGTTGTGGCTACCCGT